ACCCTCAATGCAACATTGCTGAAAAGCAGTGAGTTCTTAGGAGGTGACTGGGCCGATGGGGGGTGGGGGTGGCTTCTGCCTTCCTTTGGGGAACAAGTTTGCACCCCTGGAGGACTAAATTAGCTACCACAAGTGTGGGTCCCGGCTGTAGGACCATGGCCTCTTTCCTTTATAAATGACACGGCCTCAGTTACTCTGTTAGAGCAACGGATCTGAATGCCCACTCTTTCCTGTATCTGCACTCCTATTAAGCCTAATCTTATACCAAGCCACACGGTGGGTGCTCGAGAAGTGTCTCAAGAAGGCTGAGTGAGGAGGAGCTGGGGAAGTCGTCGTTGGTCATTGTCATCGGAGCGCCTCTGGGCAGACCTGCAGAGGGTGACAGGATTCCCTCCGGGGTCGCGGTGGGAGGAGATCTCTGCAGGGGCTGTTAGTGCTCGCCGCCGCCCACATCTCCTCCTCGCCTGGGCCAGTGTCGGTTAGCCTGCCGGTGGGTCCCAGTGCTGTGCTGTGGACGTCGCTTGGTCACCTAATCCTCACTTCTAGCTCTTCGGGGTTAGATACGCATGTGAAGCCATGGGGCCTTAGAGAGGTGGGGTAACCTGGACCTGCGCAGGTCACACGGCTCACAGTTGGCCCAGTGAGGAACGGAACCAGCTCGCGTGGCTAAATTTTCCTTTGTCTGCGGTAGTTAGGACTGCTGCTTGCATTCGTGCAGCAGTAATTCGTGCAGGACAGCTCACTCTGGACCCAGAGCAGAAGACCTGTTTTGAAACTGTCTTATTTTTTCACTCTCAGTGTTTTATTTGGAAGTAACATAAAGCTCAAAGAGGAGGAAAGAAGGCAGTACAGGGTTCGCAGGTGTCCCCACACCATCTTCCTGGTGTTAGCGTCGTACATACATAAATACAGTACAGTGAGTACAAACACGAAACTGACGTTGGGACCATGCTGTTCACTAAACACAAGCTTTATTCACTCCACAACTTTTCCACTCTTGTCCTTTGTCTGCTCCGGTCCAGGATCCATCTTAAGTGGCAGCTGAGTTATTGGGACATCCTGGTTTTCCCCCAAACAGCAGCAGTTCCCTGCCTTTCCTTGTCTCTCGTGGCCTTGACACTTTGGAGAGACTCACGAGGCATTTTGTCGAGGGACCCACAGTCTGGATTAGTCTGTTGTTTTCCCGTGGCTGGACTGAGGTTTTTGTCTTTTGGCAACAACGCTGTGCCCAGCCTCCGTCGCTGTCCCTCACATCCACAGGCTGTGCCTCCGTTTTACTGCTGAAGGTGCTGACTTTGATCGCTTGGTTACGGTGGTGGCTGTTGGCTTCTCTACTGCACCATTAACATGTTTTCCTTTGAAAATAAGAAACAATTGAGGGGAGATACTTTGAAAGGATGCAACTTACGCCCCCACATTTTAAGCATCCGTTTGTGGGTCTATCCTGTGACGGTTACTACTGTGGTTTTCTAATGGTAAACTCTCTAGCTCCTTCATTCCTCCTCCAATTAGGAATTGGAATTCTTCTGTAAGGAAGACGTGTTCCTCCTTATCCTTTTGTTTATTTATTCAGTCATTTATTTAGAGCAGTATGAACTCAAGAAGATTTGCTTTATTTTCTGGGTTCTATTCTATTCGATTCTATATTTGTGTTCAACTTGTTCGGCCTTGGCCATTAGGAGCTGTTTGGGTTGGCTGGGACATCCTTTCCGTGTGCCCTCTCCTCTTTAGAAAAGCACTTTCTTACTTTCTGGCATCTTGGAATGCTCAGCAAATCAAGCACGTTTTTAAAATTAATAACAGCTATGTCTCATCCTGGAACACTGAAATTTCTCATCGGGTAACCCCTGCAGTCTTTCACAGCTTTTTAGAAGTTTGGCACATTTGAGATGGATTCCTCTCATGGGGCCACATGGGAGCCACGGAAGACCATACGTTCTTTGTTCTCTCCCCTCCACCGCCAAACATAAAGTCTGGAAATTACCATGTAAAGTATGGAACGCAGCATTCCAGCTGCATCACAAGCCTTGCCGTTTAATTTCTTTTCAACAAAGGTGCAAATGGTCCCCTTCCTGATTGATGTACCTGAACACATGTGCGCATTCCGGATAGGATCTGTGAGCTTAATTCCCTCATCAGATGAACTTGTACCCTGCACCTGAGGCTTTCAGGGTGTGCAGTGACAGTTGTGTCCTCCTGCAGAGTGAATTAAGTTTGAAAAAGTTAAAATTACAAAGTTGCTCTTATCAAGTTGATGGTGCCACCAGAATTGTTTAGTCTTTCTTTATGTGCCTCCAGGGGAGACTTTGTCTTGAAGTGTAACTTTGAGGTGAGTGTGAGTACCGCCAGCCCTCAGTCTGTGGCTATGCCATTCATCAAGGGAAACCGTCTAATTTTAGGTTTGGCCCTAATCAGCTCTTGTGCCGTTTCCATTTTTAAATCATCCTTTTATACAAACACCTTAAATTAGTCTCAGCATTTTTGTAAGTCAGACTTATAGAAAAACCTAATCTAGCAAATAAATTCCAACAGAATTCATAGAGAAGGGAAATTCTATAGGGAAAGGGTCCCACTGGGCCAGGTCAATGGAGATGCATTGTTGTATCCAAATGGTGTCACAGTGTCCAAGCCAAAGACCAAAAGAGAAGTCACACAAAGGCAACATTCATAATATGTTCTTGCTGCTGAATGCCTGCAATCAAAATTTTAAATACAGTAAGGTCATAGTATAAAGCCATATATAACAAATCTTCTCTGGGATTACTAGAAAAATTGCCAGTGATGTGATGATAGTTGAAAGTATTTTCTTTGGATCCTGTGTGCAGAATCTGAGATGGTAATTAAGTCGTCAATAATTTTGTTCAGCCTCCATACATGTTTCCTGTGGGGGAAACTAAGTAAACTCTGACTGATGTGAACTGAAAGAAGTTTTCAAATGGTCATGAAGTTATAACCAGTTCCATCCAGGAGTTCATTTATAGATTGACTGTTTAGGACTCAAGGTACTTCTCGGAAAAGACAGGCTTAGTGCTTGGCGTTCTGTGCCATCGAACAAAACTCTGTTTAAGTCACGGAATATGCTTGCAGTAGGGATAAACTGTAGGGTTTCCATTATGCCACGCTGCCATTTCTTTTTTCAGTGTGGCTATGAAGCTTTGTATTCAGAGTCTTGACTGGTGCCTGTTGGGGCTTCTGAAACCTTTTGCTGTCTTGAGAAGGGGAAGAAACAAGAATTTCTGGGGCTAAGGGGGATACGCTAGTCACATTCCCTCTGTCTCTTACGTTTTCTCTTTCTCTCTTTTACCCCTTTCTCTCACTCACTTTAGCACCTTTCTTCCTATTTCACATTGTCTATTATATCATTGGGATCTTATGTACTATTATAGTTTCTTTCTCTCTCACAAAGTCCTCCATTGGGAAAAAAAGGTTGATTCATCTTTGTGAGAAACATGTGCCAAAGTATTCTTTGTCCCGCACTTGTATAGATAGTCCTGAAAACTTTTCACTTTAGCAAATGTCATTTCATTAATTTCAGACACTGTGTCACATTAGCAAGGAAATGCTCCTCATGTTCAAAAATGCCTACTGGTGTAGTCTAATTGAATTACAGCATCACTGACAGAACTAGCTTCACTTGTAGAATAAAAATGCTGTCCTGTTATGACCTCTTTCTCCGTAGTAATTCTCAAGGGAAATTAAAGTCATGTATTTTATATTATTAATATTAGCCAACCTATATTGTGTTCTGTGTGTTAGGCACAATGGGAGTCCCATATTATGTTCGATTCTTAATGCCCCAAGACAGGGTTACTGTGAGTGTCCCCATTTGACAGGAAGTTAGGTAACTTCACACCATCAACTTCTGGGTGTAGACCCAACACTCACTGTGCTCTTTACACCCAGGCTGTGTGGCTGCTATGTACTCAGTTAAATACCTACAAAATTATCCTACATCCTGCAGACCCAGGGTCTTCTGCAGAGACGTGCGATCCGGTCCACAAACGGCCTGGTGATGTCTGGACACAGACGCCGTTATGTGCCCCCTTCTCCAGGCTGTCATTTGACTCACTGCTGCGTCCTGTTTGGAAGGGGTTTCCCCATTGCTGTGCTAGGGAAACCCGGTACATTCGTAGTGCTCTGTTCGTAGTGGTTTGCTCTGGCCTGGGTAGATCCCGCCTATCCGCGGCTGTGTTCTCTTTGTGCTTGAGTAAATGAGACCCAACCTTTAAATGATATATTTCATGACTATTTCAGAGGGTAGGCATTGAAGGGAGTGTTGTGTTCTTGGAGGAAAAGGAGGTGTGGACGTGCAGTTGTTCTGTAGTTCACATGGGGCTTTGGTGCAGGACCGTGGCAGATCCCAAAACCAAAGTGCTTAAGTCCCTTCTCGGAAAAGGCACAGTGTTTGGGTAACCTGCACGGCACCTGCAGACTTCAGACTGTCTGCGGTCACTTCTGAGATCCCTTGCAGGGTAAATGTTACACAGATTGTTGTTCTCTATTGTGTAGGCAATGATGCTAAAGGAAAAATCTGTCTGTGGTCAGTCCGGGCACTGTTTGGTTTTTTTATTTTCTGAATATTTTGTCAGTAATCGATGGACCCTGAGAGCATGCAAACCCCACAGATGTGGAGGTCAAGCGTAAGGACATCAGTGCAGGGGAGCCAGTGCTGCCATCTGCCTGGTTGTGACCCCACTGAGGGTGGGGTGATAGGGTTGGGCATTTCTGCATCGTGTCTGACCAGACGCATGTCAGTGCTCCCGGTGCCTGGCATTTAGGAATGTGCTCAGGAGGTGACAGCTGTTCATGTGGACAGAGGTGATTCTGTTGCTCGGCCTTTCTGGAGCTACATTTTGGACTCCCAAAGTAGCACACTATTCTGAGAATTTTGGTTATTTTTTCCTTATTAATAGATAAAGCTCAAGGCTTTTCTCTTTCTTCTTTTTCTCCCCATCCTATCCTCCTCCTCTTCCACCTCCTCCTCCTCCTTCCTCATTTTCTTTTGATGACAAATGGCTCTGGGTCTCACTCAATCCTGTAATTCATTATGCTAGCACTAAATCATTTGCGCTCCCTCAAAAAGAAAAAACAACAACAACAACAACAACAATCCACCTTCCACTACGACTGTCTGCAGTTTGGGAAGTGATTCTACAGTAATGCGGCAGGTGCTTTTGAATTTCTCCATGTGCACTACCAGTGCTCCAGGCAGTGGCTGCCGGACGGGACAAAGAGCTGGAAAGCATTTGTGCTGGACAGAGCGTGTGCTGTGCACAGAGCGCTCCCTGGCACCGCAGCGCAAAGCCCTGTCCATTGGGCCCGGCACAGTCGCTGCCCACCTCTGCAGGGAGACCTGCAGCTCTCCGGAAGCGAAGACCCTTCCTGCGGGTGGGCCGGCGCCAGGGCCTCCACTCAGCTGGGGTCCTCTGTGCCCAGGGGTGAGGCAGGACAGGGGCGGCTGTGAGCGCAGTCTCGGCCGAAGACCTGGCGCACTGTTCGGCGACACGGAGGGGGCTCACCGAGTGCTCTTCACACAAATCATTTCATTTAATCCTCTCGATGGTCCTTGAGATGGGTTCAGTCCCTCTGTTTAGAAAGGAGAGAGAGGACAGAAGGAGATGGGTGAGTGAGGTCAGCCCTGGTGAGGAGCAGCGAGGGGCGAGGCCAGGTCTGCGTGGGCGGGACCTCCCGGGCTGCGAACCTGAGGCCGCCTGGGTTCCCTTAGCGCGTCCCAGAGCGCTCTCCATGCGTCCCTCTGACTTTTCTATCGGGATTAGTTGTGGGATCCAAGAAGCGGGGAGCAGGGAGTCAGCCCCGGTCCCCTCTAAGGGCTGCCTTTCAACTCAACATCCCTGCTCCACTGTGGACCTAGGGCAAGCACAAGGTTTGGGTTCCTGCCACCAAAGGTGCCCTCAGCAGTCCTGGCCCGTCCCCCCGGTCTGTGTTTTCCAGTCATTCGCATAAATATTTGGGTATCCGAGTGGCCAATGCAAGCCTCACGTGAGTTGTCCAAGGTCTGAAAAGCGCTGCAGAGTTCTTGGGTCTACGTGCCTTTTCCCGAGTGTCCAGCACAAGTGGGGGGCCCCTGGCTGAAGCCATCAGCTTCCACCCGTGTTTGCTTACCCAGGTCTCTGAGCATCTCCCACCTGCCAGGCGGCGGGTACCACAGTGGGTGGAGGTGACCCCGGTTCCCAACAGGGCCTTGCTTCCAGCAAAAGTGCACAGTGGCCCTCAGGGAGTTACAAATGCACAGGTACAGTGGTGGCCATGGAGAAGCAGAGGGACAGGAGGTCCCAGCGCCCTTCGTGGGGACATGTGATCTCGTCAGGGATGAGAGGGGCATGGAAAGGGGACTTTGAGAGCCTCCCCTGTGGGCACCGAGGTGGGGGTGCTGTGGCAGCAGTGACAGCCTCACCTTTGTGCCTGGGTGCTGGGGGCCCTCGGAGCTGGGCTCTCTGGTGGACGGAGGGGCTGGTGCTGTCTGAAAGAACACAGAAGCACCGAATACAGCCTTACTGCTGACCACATGGAAAGACAGCTCGGGCTGGAAATGAGAGCATCTAAACTTTGTATTTCATGGGCAGGCCATGGGCAACCACAGGAAGTGAGCCCCTGAGCGTGGGGCACAGGTGATTCACGACAGTGGGGCAGTCTGTGAGCTTTTCTTCCGCCTCTCTTCAAAGTACGCACTGCTCAGTCGTCGCACAATCTCCACAGATATCACCATAGCAACAATTGATAGCACTGTCTCCGCTCCTGCTTCACACTGCCTGACAGTTTCTACCATCGCGGTCATCGCCGTGCCGTGCGTGGGAGGGATCAGGGCCCTGCTTGGCCCTGCCGCATCTCCTCCTGTCCCGTGACACCCCTGGTGTTGGGGACCTCCTGTCGAGAGCCGGCTTTGCAGCCACCCCGTCCTCTCCAGGTAGGTGGTGAGGAGACTCTGCCGATGTCCCCTGCGTAGCTGAGCAGCAAGGACGGGGTGCTTGGTGGGGAGCGTGGGAGTTGTGCCCACATCTACCCCATCATTGGGTAGAAGCAATGTGCACGGTCACCCTCAGTCAACAAGAAAGGAGAGTCAGTGTAGCTGTTTGAAGAGACAGACCATGTGTGCATAACTTTACTACAGCATACTGTTGTGATCTTTGTTTTAGTATCATTACTGCTCATCTCAGTGTGCCTAGTCTATGAATTAAACATGACCACAGGTCTGTATGTAAAGGAAAAACATAGCATGTACAGGGTTCAGGCATGCACTGGAGGTCTCCGTGTGTTTCCTGCGCAGAGGAGGGGGTTACAATGTGTCATGTGGAACTTCTTACACCTTTTTATCATGCATCAGTTGTCCCCCTTAGATTTCGTTTCTTCCTTCAGATTGTCTTGTTGTGTGTCCTGGACAGTGGGACTCTTCAGTCTACTTTCTATCCCTCCGATCACCTTCCTTGCAGTTTACCGTATTTAATGATCTCTGCTGCTCTCTTCATTTTTCCATTCAACAGACATATTCTGAGTGCCTTGTGGGTAAGACAGCTTTCTGTCACTGTGACAGAACACCTGAGATAAACAGTTTAACAGAGGAAAGTTTATTTTGGCTCACGGTTTAAGAGGCTTTAGTCCATGGCTGGCTGGCTCCATTGCCTTTGGACCTGTGGGATGGCAGAACCTCAGGGTAGTGGGTGCTTGGTGGGGGAAAGGACCTCAGGCATCTGAGAAGCAAAGACGGAGAGAGAAGGGGCGAGAGGCCAGTATCAAAGGCAGCACGCTTCCCATGACTGAGCTTTCTCTTCGTAGGCCCCACTTCCCAGGAGGTTCCGCCAGCTCCTGATACCTCCCTTAGCTGAGGGTGAAGCTTTTGGGAGAGATTTACCCCAACCATAAAACCTTCCCGAGCCAGGTACTGTCTCTGTGACTGGGCCACCTCGGAATCAGGGGCCTCTGCTTTTGTGACATTGGCATGCAGGATGAGAGGGCACAGATAGAAAACATAAGAAATAAGAAAATCATATAGTCTGTAAGGTGATAAGAAGAAATATATAAGGGTGTGGAAATGTTGGGGAAGCCTGGTGTGTTATCATTGCAGCAAGTGTCTTCGAGGGTCCACTGACCGAGAGAAAGGGTAATCGGAAGTCTCACGCCTACAGTTGACTGGCTCCATTGCTTTCAGACCCAGTCCAGAGGGGCACATCATTCGGCCGGGGACTGAGCTCAGCGGTGCCACTGCCTGCCTTGCAAGCACAAGGTCTCGAGTTTGATCCCCAGTACCAAAAAAATACAAATTAAAAAGGAGCACGTCATGGTAGAAGTGTATGGTATAGCGAGACTGCTCACCTCACAGCCAGGAAGAGAAACAGAGAAGGACAAAGAGACTGGGACCCTACAGTCCCCTGCAGACCCCTCCTGCACTGGGCTTCTCCTCTTCAGAGTTCCAGGCCTGCTGGTAGCACCACGTCGGAGACCAGGCTTTGGCCACATGGACTTTTGGGGCCAAACTCCAGCACCTGGCTGCAGTTTGATGACACATAGTTCTGGTGTGGAGTGCAGTTGATGACAGATAAGCAGGCGCTGCAGGCTGTAGAGGGGGAGCAACTGCAGCAACGCTTGGTTTATGCTTTGAGCTCACCGTATCTTCAGTTTGGAGAGGACCTAAGGGCCCCAGGCTAGGAGCCCAGTGGAAGGCGCTCTGGTACTAGGACACGGGCAAGGCCGGAACAGCGTCAGGGAAAGTTGATCACAAAATGTTCAGTTGTGTCACAAAGCGACACCATTTCCTACACAGACCCCCATTTGCCAGGTATTTTTATGTTTCTCTGTGTGCTGGAACTTTCTATCCTTCATCATCTAAGATAACCCTGTGTATCTTTTCCACATCATACAGGAACTTGGAAGAAAACCGTGAATGACATTTCTGTCTTTGGGTTTTGTGATGAGTTGTTGAGAAGCTAGTCAGAACACCGCATGTGTCAGGAGTTCTTTGAGCTTGGTGAGAAATGCGCCTGTGCTTTATTGACACGCGGCTGAAATGCGCATCCAGCAGAAGTCGTGGGTTTTCCCGGGTGAAAACACCAGCAGACTTGACAGTAGCCACCCCACGTGTCACCCACAGATGCCCAAGCATGGCTCATTCCCTGTGTGCGCATCTCACCTAGTGGTGCCCAGTCCAGGGGCTCCTTCCAGGAGCGCTAGGTAATCTCCTAAAACATATAAGTGCTTCCTACTAATACTTCTTTGCAAGACACCTCTCTTTTGAAGATTTTTCTTTGAGTGTTTTTAAAGAAACGTAATGTCTGTATGTGTATACATACATGAAGCAGTACAATAACGGCATACATACTATGTGCAGTGATTAAATAAAGATAATTAGCATGTCCATTGAGAGGATGGGAATTGAGCCAAAGACATGAATACCTAAAACTAGGCTTTTATTAGGGGGCTGGAGTGGAGAGACAGGGTGCCCGGCTGTCTCCGACAATGAGGAGAGCTGCGGGAGGGGCTGGCTGGGTGAGGTTTTACATGGGCAAGGGGTTGTGAGGGGAGCATAGTGGAGGTAGATGTTTGGCTGTGGCCAGAGGTGAGGTTTAAATCCATTGGCAGGTTTGGATTTCCTGGTGGGAAAGACGAGAGACGGGCGAGCTTCGTGGTGGGAAAGCTGGGTCTTTGCTTCCCTGGAGTGATTTATTATCTGCCGGGAAGAGCCATTTAGGATGGGGAGTTAGGGCCTTTTTGTCTAGCAGGGAACTGTGCCATCCAACTTCTTAGACATTTAGCATTTCTGTACATTTTCTATACCTTTGGACTCTTCTAATTATTTTGAAACGTACACAAGCTTGTAGGCCAGCTACCACATAACTGCTGCAATAACTGTGCTCCAATTCTGTCCAACTTGCTGTACTTTGGGATGCATTATTCAATCTGTTTCCCTTTCTAACAAACATTGACCTCCATTCTACTCTTTTCTTCTGTGATCCTAGCTTTTCTTTAGCTTCCACATATGAGAACATGTAGTATTTCTCTTTCTCTACCTGGCATATTTCACTTAACATGGTCCCCACCACCTGTTCCATCTACTTTGTCACAAAGACAGGATTTCACTCTTCTTTGAGGCTGAATAATATTCCATGGTGTGCATATACAACATTGTCTTTATCTGCTCATTTGTCAGTGGACACTGGTTGATTCCATATCTTGGCCCCTGTAAATAATGCTTCAGTAAGCAGAGATGTTCAGTTATCTCTTCACTATAATGATTTTTTGAGAAATTGTTTTTTTTTTTTTTTTTAGTAAATGCATCTTTCATTGTAAAATGTGGCAAGCAAGTCCTTCTATTTAAGTATAGTTATATAACTTTAATCCCAAGAGTCCTTCACTTGCCTTCTCTGTCTCCATCCCAAGTTGCTGCTTAATATTCTGGCTTTTTTTCCTCATCAAGTTTATTGGTATATTTTAGGTTTACAGTACAGTTACATTCATCATTGGGATCTTGTACCTTTACATGACAGGTCTTGGTTCTCATTTTTTACCCTTATCCCTGCCCTCCCTTCACCCCCTCCTCCCTTCCCTATTTACAAATACTTTTATTTCCATTTTCTCATGTTTTTTTTTTCCTTTTCCCTTACTACCTATCTCTTACTCTTCCCATTTCCCCTACACCTTTAGCCCTTTTCTTCCTATTTCACATTGTCAATTATATCATTAGGATCCTATATACCATTATAGTTTTTCACACCAGAGAAACTATTCGGAATTATATACTCCTAAATGAGAAATTCTTAATATGGTGCTCCAGTCTTTTACTGCTGTTTTTCACCTGCACCTCCACATACAGATTGTTTGGAAAATATTATGCACAGAAATGCCTGGGTCTCACTACTCAGAGGTTTGATATATATATCTCAAGGATCAGCACTTGAAATTTAAACTTTTAATTATGAACTATTTTGGATGTACACAGTGCAGAGAATCATACCATAACACATGTACCTATGCCCCAGCCAAAATAACTAACTTGGATGCTGTTTTTTTTCTAAAGTTCCCCCATATGTTTCTTGTAAGGTACGTAGAGATCCACCAGTCTGTTCTGATAAAACAGGAAGTGGAAGGAATGTTTCCATGGATATCAACATTGAGAAAAGTGGAAATGTGAAGGCCACGTGATTCTAAACACTGTCTAGTGCTGGGTCAGTCCATTTGTGAGGATGAAATTCAGTACGTGTGTGCCCATTGGGTTTTGTTAAATAGGGACAGAATTCAGGGTTGGGTATGGTGACTTTTGGGGAAAATTCAAAGGAAACTAATGGATTCTCACTCAGAATATTTACACCTTGACTCAGAAAGGAGTATCACACCCAGCCATGCAGGTAACTCAGTAAAGCCCGGCTTAGAGGTACAGAAAGGTCTGACGAGATGGGGTAGGACAAGTCCATTAGAGATGACAGATCCAGGAAGACATCTTCCCAGGGAAGAGCTGGAGGACCTGTCATGAGATTTATGGAGAAAAAGCATCAAAGCGATGCCAAATCTATCTCAGCCTGTGTTAGAGGAGATCCTCCAGGTATTGCAAAGCCATGAAAATACATAGATATCTTCATGAAGCCAGTCCTTGTCTGAGAGTAGAATTTGGGGCAGGTTGTGTTTACCCAGTGACAAATGCTTGGGAAACTATTTCTCGTCAAAACTGGATGGTACTTGGTGGAGGAGCTTGACTCAGGGCCCCGACATAAGAGCCTGCAGTGTGGGGCGTTACTGACAGGTGCCTTGGACGATGTGGAACATCCCAGCTGCAGAGCCCACTGTTCATAAAGCAGCTCAGCCCCTGAAACAATGGCAGGAAATTTTAGCTCAGGAAAGGATGCTGAGCTAAAATCTCATTCTTTAACATCCCTTTCTCAAGCCGGGTGTGGTGGCGCATGCCTGTAATCCCAGCACTTGGGAGGCTGAGGCAGGAGGATTGCTGTGAGTTCGAGACCAGTCTGGGCTACATAGCGAGCTCCAGGTCAGTCTCCACTACATAGTGAGACCCTGTCTCAAAAAACAAAAAAACAAAAACAAAAACAAAAACAAAATCCCTTTCACAAAAGAAACTGTTTGTGTTGCTTCCACACACTATGTCAGCTTAAGATAGAAGATGCCTCCTTTGGTCAGTTTACTTAATTTGGTTCACTAGGTGGCGAAAGGAATTCCTGTTGTGCAAGTCTGTTAAACCAAAATGTATTAATTTTGATGAAGTCTCTGTGTCCCGGGCTTCCAGACTGCCCACAATTAGCCCTCATTTTCCCTTTTTAATAAGACATCCCTTGGCAACTTTGTGAAGATGTTTTGTGTGCTTGGAAATTCAGCTCAGGGCTGTAAAGTTACTGCAATCTTCAATAAATGGGCAATTATTGCCAGGACCAGAACACAAAAATCTTTCATTGTTATTTATTACTATACTTGCTGCCCGTGAACTGCAGCTGCAGACGGGATCCAGGCAGTGACCGTCCTGCAAAATGGCAATGGGACTCTTGTAAGTGTGGGCTGTCTCAAGTTCGGGCACCAGGGTGGGTGGGTGAGGTGGTTTTGCCACGAGTTTCTGGAAAACATCTGTCTGCGCACACTGTCACCGTGGGATTGTTGAGATCAGCCGGCCATCTGGATTAGTGGCTCTCGAGATCCAGTGTAATTTATCGCCCAAGAGCTCAACGGCAAAAAACACCTGGACCGAGCCCCAGAGTTTGAGGTTTGCTTAATTTGAGGCTCCGCCCAGGAATCTACATCGTTAATAAGCACTCTGACATAAACGGCATGAATGTTTATCACTCTCTAAGTTTATTCTTCACACAAAAACAAAACTGGGAGAACGATGTGCATCCAACCTAGTTTGAGGAACTCTGCTGTTCCTCCTGGATCCATATCCTCTGAAATGAGTCAGCCGTGGGAGTCTGGGCAGATCCCCCATAAACGTCTAGAACAGGACAGAAGCAGTAGCTACAGTTTGTTTTCAAAGGGCTCTGACTTTTTTAAACAGATTTATTTCCAGGGGCACAGACATTCTAGATGATGCTTTCATTGGTTCCTTGGGAGCTGTGGGCTACAGAAGGGCCAAGTTTTTAGGATGGACTCACACGGTGACGTCTACATCGGTGAGACCAGCGGGAGGGGACAAGAATGTGGACAGTTGGAGGCAGGAAAGTAAAGCTGACATTTTTCTTGGAGTAGCTACTGCTGTGAGCCTTTTGGTTTATAAAGGTAACCGTCACACATTCACCTAAAGAGGGCAATGTTAACTTGAAGATCCCACCAGGAAGCTAAACCAGATTGTTAAATGTTTCCAGCCGTAGTAGTCCCTTTTCCTTCCCCAGCTGATTCTTCGTAATAGTTGCTGGACTGAAGGGCAGTGGCTTATTAGGATTACTTACAACTTCGTAGGAAATAGAAGGGCTCATTGGCATTTATTTTATGCCTTTGGAGGGGGATTAAAATGTGAGCTCTCCTGGTACAACAGAACAGAAATCATGTTTAGGAGTGAAATTTAATACCATGCATTACAAACTCCCATTGTTTATCTTTTACCATTCCATTCTTTATATTATATATAAAAACTCCAAATAGAAGGCATTCTTAATAGATTCTTATTTTTAGTTAAAGAGCAGAACAGAATTATTTAGCATTTCAAATTTATATGAAACTAAGCATTAGAATAACCCTTGCAATTATATTGTTAGAAATTATTCTATTTTAATAGAGTGAAGACCTGTTTCTAAAATTTACTAAAGAGAAAGCCAAAAGTAAAAAGGTATATTTTTACATAATGAAACTTACATAATTGATATTGGCCCCACCCTTGTGGCTCTTATGAGTACAAATAAAGAAGGGAAATGTGGAATTGTGAATAGGAATTTTTTAATGGTGTGTTGGTATATCAAACTTACACTTTTGTACGTTTTGTGTTGCTTTTGTAACACTGCTAGTTTTGTATTTCATCTTGCATCTGTGCTGTGCCTGCGTACAAATCCCTGCAGTGAGGTTTACACCCAGAATGACTACAGCACCAGGAAGTCTTCATGAGCTCTAAACTTAACACTCTTCTTAAAACCTACAGACATTTAGATGAATTTTTATCTCAGAAGGGTAAGCTTGTTGCTTCTGAATTACACATTCATCCGTGTATTTCTCTTATTAATGGTCTCCAGGGACACTGTGGCTGAAGACATTAAGTTCCAATTTCAAGGACCTGATATGCAATTCAGGTGCCCCTCACGATACCGAGCATGAAATAAGCCTCGACTAGTTCCTGCAAGTGCTGGCAGCATTTTACTGCAGCAGCCACCTCAGTTTGAACAAAGAGGACAGCTGAGTGTACCGGTAGGGTAGCACTGTTGGCTTTGGTTAGGGGCAAACTTCAGATGGCCCTACTGGTCAGACTACCATTGCTTTTTGGAATCTCGTCTATAAGGCTGACAATTTTGCTGTCCGTGTGACCTGTAAACTCCGGCTATCCTTGCCTTGGACTTAACACTGCTTGCTATTCAGGTAGCAGAGTACCAGCGAGTACCAAGGGTCACGGTTCCATTGATGCTTGCGGTGGTATGGAGGTTCATGGGCATCTTGTCTCTTTAGCATGGAGTTTACACACACCCCACTGGAAGTAAGCTGCACCCTTTTTTTGCAAACTGCAGCTAGAATTCTGGATGGCTCGTTGCCTTCCGTGATATGTTATGTGCAGTAGAGCACTTATAGGAAGCCCATGAATAAGTGTTGCAGAATAAGCATTAGTGCAGTGGGGGAGACCTGAAGGGGCACTGAGACAGAGCCTGGAGTACCAGAATCTTTTCCCCTTTCCGTGGAGTTCGGTGTTTGTCTGATGCTCCATGTGTAACAACTGGGAATCTGGAGCACTGACTTCTCATGCCAAATCAGCCCTGACTCTGGCAACCTGTGACAGGCATTCCCTGTCCCAAGAGCTACTTCTCTGCAACTTATAGAAATAGCACCACGAAGGGCTTCAGGACAAGGACAAGGATAAAGACTTTTCCAAGTGGGAAGGTTGTGAAAGTGGCTGTATTTGTGACAAGCAAATCTACCTGTAATTGTATCACCACTTTGCTTCTATGTTACTTTCTTCTTTCCACGTGAAGGAGCTTCTTTTTTTTTTGTTTCCTAGTGAGAGTGAAGTAGTAGGTTTTTCATTGTTGACTTATTTCATCGTTTACTTTTCATTATTCCCCAAGTATTAAGATGTTGTGTCTCTTATGGAACCCTGAGGTTTAACTGAGGCCAAAAGATGTTGGAAAGTAGTCACCGGGACATTTTCTACAGCATCAAAGCCAAAGTTAAAGTTAAGCTTAGTTCATGATTCAATGCCCATTCATTTTTTTTTTAGCTGAAAATAAGTGCTGATGGGGGACACTGAGGGGTGACAGAGATGGTTTGGGAGCTGGGGCACCCTGTGGGACAGCAGCAAGGCTAGAGATGCAAGCAGGTTACCCAGGGAGCTAGGCCTGCTCGTGGCTGTGTGGCAATTCTGTGCTAGGAAAAATAATTGTGGTGGAAAACCTTAGCGAATCCCAAAAGGTTTCACCATAATGGCATCTTGGATTCACTATGAACCATTCTTACTCCGAGTTTTGAACTCGTGGATGATTTCAATAATTAGTGAGGTAATCCTAAATTTCCTAATAGCTTACTTAGTATTCTACCACTCTCCCACCTAGAAACTAGTCATTCGTATACTATCCTGATTTTCGTCACCAAAAAGATTAAGATTCATGAGTCATGGAGAGAACAGTTTGCTTCCATTTGAAAAAAATAACAAAAATACCGCAATGAAATGAATGAAAGTATGAGAGCCATCTGCGTCTCGGCTGATAATGCCAAATGCGAGTTTATTGTAAACAGTGAGATTTGTTCGAGCCCACTTTCAGAGAGGAGCATATCCTTTCTTCATGGGAGGATCTTCTGCGCTGTGCCCGCCGTGCGTGTGTGTGCACCCGTGTGGTGTGAATGACTTTGTATCACCCTCAAGTGGGGGGGGGTTCCTGGCCGGTGGGGGGTCCCTGAACCTCCTGAGTATTTGAACAGTCACCTTTTGGGTCATCAGATTGCCTAGGTCTCCATGACATCTGGCATTAGAATCAGGGCCACAGTCTCTTCCTAGGTGGCCTGGTATTGGCCCATTCGTTCTAGACTATGAAATGCCACATTACTCTTAAAAGGAACATGACTTGGGTGATATTTTCGTGCTCAGAATTTCTGCACGTCTGCAGAAGGCCGGTCTGTGAACGCCACAGAAGCATAGTCAGGATCATTTTTCAGCTTCTGTCCCATGCGCTGGGACCATCCTACCCCCCACCTCCCGACAAGTCAGGGGACGCCACGTCCTTTTCTAGGGAAGTTTTCTCTCTTCCAGAAACCCGGCTACATCTCTCCTCCTCCTGGCGACAGACCTGCCCACTCATCTCAGCTGAGGCTGCTTCTGCGCGTCTTGGGCGCCCGTGAGTGAGTGCGGAGTGTTTCTGAGCCCGTCTTCCCTGGGATCCCGGAGCTCCGGCAGGGGTGAGGGTGGTGTGAACAGGGCCTAGACCTTCCGCAGCCCTAGGCCCAGCGGCTGGAAGGGATCCCTCCCCTCCGCCGCCAGCCGCAGCCCCCGAGGCCCCTCTCCTTCCAGCGGGCAGCTGCAGGCAGCGGGGAGGAGGGAGGAGCCGAGCTGCAGAGAGGACCCTTTCCGCAGCCTCTAATCCAAGTCTCTCTATTAACCTGGTTTCCTGAGCACCCAGCCTGTGCCAGGCACATTTTAAGCATGTCTATGAGGGATATTTTTCCATTCTTAAACACTTTAGCCTCACAGTCATGTGTTTCTCTATAAAATTACATTAAGAACTATAAGTATTTTCTAAGATGTGGAAAATTTTATATTATATTTTAAGTACAATTTAACTAGATTTATGTGTGAAAGCTGTGATCTGTCTATATACTCTTCTATAAGGAGGAAATACAAAGACTTTGTGTCAGAGGACCACCTTGTCCAATAATAACAATGAAAATTTTCATAGATGATACTCTGGAATTGATAATGGAGATAAATAAAAAATTATGGATTCAAAGATATTTAAGAAATAATGCTGTTGAAGAAAGTTAATTTATATCTGTGATGACAGAAGCAGATAAAAGATGAGTCCGGATGTTGACTTGAAAATTTCTCCAGAAAATGCTGCCGTTTTTTTCTTCAAAAATACAGGGA